TTATTATTTTTAACATCTAAATATTGAAGCTCATTGCCTTTATCTTTGATTGCACAAGAATCAAAGTTAAATTATTATTTTGCAAAATTCATTGTTGTTTTGGCTTGAGCCTTGTGAATGTAATACAAATTCAAGAGTTTTTATTGTATCCTAAAAAAAATTCTCCATTAATCTAATTTGTACCTAAAGACTAGAATAAGTGGGTGCAAATTAAATCTAAAAAAAAGTTGAATACATTGTGAACAAATTTCCTATTCATATCTAATTATTTATTATTGAGATAGCCATTCCGTCCATCAATTTTTTCATCCATTCAATATGAGCAAAGATGCATTGAAAAATCAAAATAAGGATTGGTGATCATTTTTTTTGGTCAATTTTTTAGTTGGAGTTTGAATGGACATATTTAAGTTTGGATTTTAGATTTAAAATATTGTACTTAAAATTTTACATTTAAAATTTATATATTTAAAATTATTTATTTGAATAATTAAAAATTCAAAGATAGAAAAGAAATGAGTTAATAGTCGAAGTGAAAATCAAATATTAAAAGTGAAAAGTTTATTTCAATTCTTCAATTAACAAGAAACAAAATCAAGAGATAAGAAAAGAGGAGGCGCCAACAATAAAATTACAAACATAATAAGAGATTTAAAGTAACTAAAATTTAAATAACTAGCTTATAAAAAAATTATATTTAAAAATGAATTTGGATCAAAATTCATAGATTTTTATGTTTTCAAATAGGTTATTTGACTTAAATTCAGGTTAAAATTTCCATTATTCTAAGCATAACATTAAGATTTTTTTTTTTAAACTTTTATTTAGGTGGTTACTTTCCAACCCGGCTACAAGAGAGAACAATGATGCGCACGAAAGCTAATTAATTAAAATTTAAACATTTCTTCCATATAAAGCACAATCAAAATAAAAAACAATGAATTAAAATAATCTATGAAATTATTTTGACATGTGAACTTGGCATAAATTTTAAATTATTTTAATTAATAAATTATGAAATAAAGATTAAAGTATAGTACGTAATGCATTTTAACAAATAAATGTGTTAAGCACATGATTAGAGCTAGAGCTAACCATGGGGAGTCATCAAGTGGCGCAATTTTGAATTTTTAAAAGGTACCCATGTGTGCACTTGAAAACGTGTCCAATAAATAGATACAACAATTGTAAAGTTATATACTTTATTTCTCTTCACCTTTACCCTTTTTTTTAATGATATCATCATGAAAATTATTAGCAAATCATTGAAGGGGTGGTTTACAAATGAAATCAATCTTTTGTAGTACTTGTAGTTGGGAGAACAATATATTATAAAATTTCAAGGTTAAATAATATGTGATCACAGACTTTTAATTAATTTATATTTGATTGTATGCCATATATTCATTTAATATTTTATTATTGATGAAAAATTGATTAAACATCCGTTTCCATTTAGAAAGTTTGGTAAACTAGTTTGTAGTTTGGTTAAATTAATAACCAGCCAAAAATCAATTAGTTAAGGAAAAAAAATCAGCAAACTCAACAAATTTTGTTGAAAAAAATGGTTTGTAAATTTTTTTAATAATTTTGCAAATTTGAAAGCTTATATATATTACTAAAAATCCAACCAAGGAGAATTAGGCCTAATAGAAATAACTGATTCCTCACAATTTAATAAATCAAGGTTCAAATTTGATATTAAATATATCTATATTTAATATTTGACCGTACTTGAAATAGATATTTAATAAAAAAATATTTTTGCATAATAAAAAAATCAGTGTAGCCAAAAATGTGAAATTGAATGTGTGAAGAGTAGGCAGACAAAATTGAACAGACAATGACATTTAAAGACGAATGTGGCAAATTTATCATATTTTAGAAGGTGAGGTTCAAATTATGGAAGATGCAAATCAATTGCAAAATTCTAAAAGTTTTGTAAATCCGAAAATGTTAGTTGCAAATTTCAAAAACTTAATTGTAAATCAATTATAAATTATGGATGTTAACCAGTTCTTCTATTTTTTGAAGTTGATTTGAATTGAATTTTTGAAAATCATCTTTGAAAATTTATAATTTTTTTTATCAAATCTCAATATGTATAATTAAATTTAAAACTTGCAAATGAAATATGTTGTCAATCACCATAAAGGCGTTTTGAATTTGTTTTTTTTTTAAATCAATCATTCTCTATAATTTCATGAATTGATATGTAGTCCCCAAATGTAATTAATAGCCTAAAGTTGTCCCTAGATGTCATACAAAGACATTTCAATTCGTGCATTTTTTTAAGTGTTTGTGACATAACTAGATACTAAATTTTAAAATTTAAACTACGTGTTACACAATTAGTTATATAATATTATCGATTTATTAAAAAATTAGAATTTTTTATTTTTCTAATCTATCAATTTATTTCATATTTTTAGTATTTATAAATAATGCTTCTCAATTATATATTTAATATTTTTAATTTAAATTTTAATTATTTTTCTTAAAGAGATCAAATTATAATTGGCCAAAAAAAAAAAAACAGAGAGATCAAATTATGCACACATCTTTCTACGCCATGGAATCCTTATTTTTCAAGGTTGTCCTTAGTAGCTAGCCCACGAGGAGGAAATTAAATAAAAGGATTTGAAGCTTCTATCTGCAGGCCCAAATCTTCAACTAGGCCCATGTTCACAATTTTATCTTTAGGCCCAAATCCAACTTTGAGATTTCTTATTGGATCAACCAGATATTTAAACCCACGTCATTATTATCTGTAGGCCCAAATGCACATAACATAGATCTCTCAGTGTGGATTCTCAAAATTGAAGACAATATTTGTATTAAAAAAATAAGATAATAATGACGTGGTAGATTTCAGGTTGATCTCTGGTGGGGTTCGCCATTTTGATGAGTTTTGAACCATCCAAACGTTTAATTTGCGTGGTTCAGATTTAACATTTTTTATATTTTTATTTATATTTTTTAAAATATAAACTTATAAATTTTTTAATAAATATACATTAAATATATAATTTTAAATGTCTAATTTAATATTAAATTTTTTTATAATTTTTATAAATTAATTATTCAGATGTAGTATAGATAGTCCAGATTTAATATTAATATAAATAAAATATTAAAAATAAAGATAATATCCTAACTAGCACTTTTAATTTTTTTTTTAAAGAATGTAAGTTAGAAATTTTAAATTTAAACTGTTTAAAGTAAACCTAGATAACTAATTTATAAAAAATTTTAATATTAAATTTAAATCATTTAAATTAAGTCTATACCGTCCCAGTTGGTGATAAGTAGATGCAAAAAAATTTATTATCTTTTATTTTAATAAATATAAAATAATATATAAATTTAAATTATTTAATTTAAATTGTGCAGATTTTATCAAGGGTTGATGAGTACTAAAGATGCAGTAGATTTCTCTAATCAGCTAGATATCGCTGTGCATGCTTTTGATGAGTTGTCATCACAATATTTGTACAGCTGTCCAAAATGATAGAGGAAGTTACTTTCAAATCGATTCCCCCTCTCTTCCTCTGGCTGACTTATTCGAGTTACCCAAACAAGGGTTTAAAACAAGGTTATTGAACGTATGAGCCATTGATTTAAGAATTAAAAATTGAGCCGTCATTGAATTAATTATAATTAATTTAATATATATTGTTTATTTTAGTGTTGAATTTTATCTGAGAAATAAAATTTTACAAAATATTATAAGGCTCATGAACAGATAAAATTAAAAAGTAAAAGAATGAGAGGATGTGGTCTCATTAATTTAGCAGAGAAACTTATCTTAGGTGTTTAAAATTACTCTCGACTTGTTTAACTTTTAAGAGTACACATTCATTATGTGTAAAAAATAACAGAGCATGAGGCATTTTTAGGAGACTTATTAGGGCCTATTTGCATACACTTTGAAAATCAATTTTGGCTTCAAAATAGTTTTAAAAATTTTTATCCAAACACTTCAATTTTCTAAAACTCTATTTGGCTTTCCAAACTTCATTTAGGAGAAGCTAATTTTTCAATTGAAATCTAAATGGGTCCTAAAACTAAATTAATATGATTACATGTTGGACCTCTACATGCAACCCCTCAAATTAGGTTTGACATGCAGAGTTGCACGCATTTACTTCTTTAAATTAAATGTAATTATATTATGTGTAGTTCAAGGGAAGGCCCATTTAGTTAAACAAAATGAAAGGGAGGAGAATTTCCTATCATTTCCTTTTTGTTTAACTAAATTAGGGCTTGTTTGATTGCTTGTTTTCAGAACAATTTTTTTAAAAGAACAGAAAAAAAATTGTTTGAAAATGTTTTCTCGAAAAACAAAAACTTAAATGTTTTGGATGTTTTGTTACTTTTTATTTCACAAAACTGAAGAAAAGGTATAAAATATCATGATTTCATTAATGATAATTATGTTAATAAAATAAATTATTCTTTCACCAAACATTTCACCAATTTAGATAGGTTTTTCCGAACGGATTTTTTTTTTTTTGTTTCCTAAACTTGGAGCAGCATTGCTGCATAGTAATAATAGTAATAGTAGTTTTTTATTATAGAACAAAATTGTCCATAAAAAATCACAAACTTTAATTTAATTAAAAACAAACATCTTAAGTATATAAAGCTAACTACAAATTCATTTGTGTTCCCACCCTTTAAGATGTGAGGTTTGTCCTAATATTACTGTGCCCCATTGAAACTACAAAAAAAAAAAAAAAGCTTAAAATAAAAAATTAGTTTTTTTTTTTTAAATCAAATTACCAGCCGGTTAAGCAAGTTACAAGATCATAAAAGTCCACACCTAACTATATGATCAACATTGTAATTTTTGAATGCAAGGTCATATAAATCTGGATTACACAGTATATCTCCAACATCTGCTACAAAGTAGAAATACTATATCCTTTAAAATGCAAGGGAACTCATCATAGCAACCATAAATATCAGGCAATGTTTCATATATATATGTATCTAGATGACTCTGAAAATATATCTATCAATGAATCAAGCAAAACAATTAAATTATCGTCACATAATATACTAATTTCGCTAAAAAAAAAGGTGCTGCAAATGAAATAAAGTAACTATATTTTGCCCCTTGACAAGAAGAAATAATTACTTTAACATTCCCTAGGGATTTCCACCTATGAAAAACAGTTATCTCGAGAGCTAATCTCTGGGGAATCTCAGCCCGCAATTCAATCCAATTTGACCGAAGAGAATAAGTAATACACAAAAGAGAAGGAAGAGAGGAACCCAACTGTGCCTGTAGCCAACATGATGGCCAGAACCATGAAGAGAGAGTATCCCAAGTACAGTGATGCAGAGACAGGGCCACTCAGATTCTTGAGATCAAACACCAGATAGTTTATGGAGTACAAGAAGATGTATATGGCCACAGATCCAGAAGCAAAGAATGATTTCCACCACCATCTCCAATCTTCTACACACAGATGCATGTAAGTCAGAACTAAAGACACCTCAGCACAGACCACCACAAGCAGAACCAGAACAACTAAGAGGAACCCAAAGACATAATAGACACGGCCCATCCAAATACTGGACATGATGAAGAAGAGCTCTATGAACAGGGTTCCAAATGGGAGGGTCCCTGCACCCAGGACTAGCAGCCATGAAGGGTACTTCTGTGCGGGAATTTCGCGAGGAATTTGATTGGTTCGGACTGGATACTCGATGTGATTGGCCCTGGCACCAAAGAACCCTCCAATAAGGGTAAGGGGAACCGAAATGCAGAACCAGAGTAAGATTAGTATAACAAAGAGTGAAAATGGGATGGCTCCTGTGCTGTGGCTTCCCCACAATAGAAAGTTCAAGGTTGTTAGGATCAAGAAGGCAATGCCGGGGAAGAAACAAGCCGCCCTCCATGCCACTGAAAACCAGCCTTTCTGATCACCACAGCCAATCGTTCTCCAAAGGCGAACTGCCACATATCCAGCTGCAACACCAAGTATCAGGTAGAAAAACAGCATACCAGTAATGAGTGTTCCGCGAGAGGCTGGTGACATGAATCCGAGAGCTGCAAACAAGATTGTCACCACAGCCATTCCAAGAATCTGAACCCCATCTCCAACCATTATACATAGCAATGAAGGGTTGGATGGAGCGCGGAATACATCCCCCACAACAAGCTTCCAACCTGATAACTCTTCAGTCATCTGTGCTTGAGCCTCCTTGTCAAGCTCCTCATAATGGGTTAGATCCCGGCGAACAGTCCTCAGTAAGATCACAAGAACAATCCCAGCAAGGAAGGTGATCACCATGAGAGAATTGAGGATTGAGAACCAATGGACTTTTGATCCCTCCATCTTCAAATAGGCATCCCATCTGGATGGCCATTTGATGTCACTCTCCTCAAAGGTGACCTCATAGGTGAAAGCCAGTGGCTGCCCTTCTTTGATCTGCATTCCTACGGTGGACGGATCACATTTAATAGGTGACGGGTATTTGCCATACATTTTCAAGTTTTTGGCAGAGTCAAAATTATGCATAACGCTGCACGGTATCACCTCAAACCCAACAACCATGTATCCTGGCAATTCTGATTCCCCTTTACCAACTGTTGGGATCACTTCAACCGCATCGCCAGTTCCCATTACACGAGCCACATTGGGTTCCTCATATTTGTGCACAAGAACATTGAACTTGAGATGGTTAAACAGATAATATGCATCTTGAATCTTCACACCAACAGGGTACCCGGTCCATCGTAGAAAGTATCCATCTTTCTGTGTAAAGCGAATGGCGGGTAAATTATCAAGAATCAGATTAACCTGATACATTTCATCAATCCTCTCTCTAAGGATCTTGAACTGATCTGCCGACAATGAGTCCAACCGACACAAGAATATCTCCGATTCATTAGTGTACATCTTAAATCGGTATGGTGAGTTCTCGATCCGATCTCCCATGAGGAGCTCGCCGAGATTCTCAGCACTGTCCTTAACACCGCCCGGAGGCTTGCAAAAGGGCAAGCTGTAATAGCTAAAGGGCATTTCTGTATCAATTGAGGTAAGAGAATTCACTTTCACCGACAACTCATCCCCAATCACATACTTGTGGGGATAACTTCCGGGAAGATAGAACCCATATGCGGATTGAAATATCAAGCAAAATGCTGAGACCCACAAGCTAAGTTGATCCGAGAAAACCATCTTCGGACGAATCATGCGAGTTATGTATCAGATCTGAAAGACCCAAATACCAAATGAGTAAAGAATTTTAAAAGTAAAAAATAAAAAAGCTCATGCTCCGACTAGATTCTCAGGCCAGAACAAATGAAGATGCAAAACATTGAAACTAATATAGCAATGAAGACAGAATCAAAACACGCACATAGCTCAAACAAGAAGCAAACCAGAGTGTTTTGAGAGATTCAAGAATTTCACTGACCTCAAACGAAGCCCAATAGACATAAATTTGAGGGATCTCTGTGAAGAATGGAAACAACGCGCATCTGGCGAGTGGCGATGGCGATGGCGATGAAAGCATTATATGTGAATTGATTATTATACCCCTCATTTCCCCGTTATGGACAAACCGCCACCATTCTCGTTAAAGATTTATTTCACACTCTTCATGTGCAACTCAAAACAAATTTTAATTTTACCTAGATTTTATATTCATGCTGTGCACAAGAACATTAATTCTCGTTGTTTAAAATAAACGAAAGAAAAGAGTGAAATTTAAATTTATTAATTTTTTAAAAAAGACACAAAAAAATAACCATAAATTTTTATTTCTAATAACTTTTATTAATCATATTTTTTATTCCTAGTATAATATTAAAATTTTTTAGTTATTAGAATACATAAATATAAATAATAATTTATTTTACTTTCACAGAATATACAAAAAATATTACTAGCATTTTATTTTAAAAATAAAAGGTATTTTTAACTAAATCTTACCCCTAATAAAATAGTCAATTATCTTTAAACTTATATTATCTTTTTATATTTATCTTTATTTAATAAAATATTTTATTTTAAAATAAATTTTATTTTAAAATAAGTATAAAGTGATTCATTTCTTATAGATATTTAAAAAAAATATATTAATTATACATTAAAACACTAAGAATTCGTTTAGTTGAGAGTTTTTGAAGGAGAGGAGAGCTCTCACTTGGTTAAGAATTTTGGAGGAGAAGGAAGTCAAAATTTCCCTCCCCTTATTTTGGGTCTTTCTAAATTTGAATTTTTTTTAAGCCTTATTTGGTTAGGGGAAAGGGGAGAAGAAATTTTAAAAAATTCCTCCTCCTCCCCACCTTCAATTTATCAAATAAGGGGAGGAGAGCCCTTACCTCCCCTTGTTTGGATGGAACAAGGGGAGCTAATTTTATTAATTAATTTATCCTCATAATTTTTATCATATTTCAATCTTGCCTTTAAAATAAAATAAAATCTAATGGGTGATTGGCTTTGCATCTCTCCCATTCTTGCTCATATGTCTTGTCTTAGGAGCTCTTGTCACGCATTGTTTCGTCAAACATTGTGAGTTCTCCTCTGCTCCTCCGCCCTCTTCTTATTTGTGCTTTGATATGGCTATAGTATTTCTTTGTTCATTTTATGTGATTTATTATCTAATTCATTGCTTTTCAACCTACCTTTTGTTTGGCCTCTCTATAATCTATCTATTATGCTCGATCATAAATGTATTCTTTCCAATCCCTTTAGGTCTTGTTTTGAGGTTCATGGATGTTGTCCTTTGTACTTGATAATTCTATTAGTACTTTTGTTGAGTTTGATGGATAAAATAACTCATTGAGACAAGAAAACTCACCTAACTATGAGCACTCACTCACTATTAACAATGCTTGCAGCAAGAGGATAAAGAGTGACTAAGGAGAAGGAACTAATGTGAATGAGCTAATAGGAGTAGTGTTAGCAATGGCTAAGGCAATTTGACAGGAAAATGTAATTGTAGGACAAAATTTCAAGAAGATGTTACAATTATCAGGTGAAGAACTTTGAAAAATGTTTGAAGAATGTTGGTGTGATATTATAAAATTACTTAACATATATTGATTTCTTATGGTTAATAATGATGCGCTTAGGGCATCAATTCAATGGCTAGCTTCAGTACGAAGGAAATGATAATAGGATGTTTTATAATTCTAATTAGATGATCTTTTAACAACGTATAATGACTTTTTGGCCAAAATATGACTCTTAGGCATTATTGATAATTTTTGTATATTTTGTTAGCTAGATGCTCAAAATGTGATTCTTAAGTATTATTAATGACTTTTGAATATTTTGTTAAATGCTTAACATGTAGCTCTTGAGCATGGAATGATGACAACTATTGATCTTATTATTCATATAAAAAAAATTGATATTAATATTAGGATTTCAATTTCCTTGGTAGGCATATTTTCGTTTTGATATTACTTGCTTTCTTATTAATTTTTAGGCACCATCTGTCTCCACAATTAGTTTTTTATATTAGGATGATTTTTTTTGCAAATTTTTATGTGTGATTCTTTGATAGAGGAAAAGGAATTTATTGTTGATGGCCAACATATATAATTCTTTCTTATGCAAATTTTTACCCCTGACATTAATTTTTTAATATAATTATTAATGAAAGTATCACTTCCTTGGGGAAAAGAAGTAAAAAAAAAATTAATAAGACTAGAGTGCTTTTAAAAAAATATATATACAATTTGAGTTTAGATGTAAAATTAATTTGTATGACAACAAGTTAAAAAAAATTAAAATTTTTTTGTATAAGTGTATAATGGTAACTTAATTGTTATCTCCCCTCTCCTTTTGAACCAAATAAAAGATCATTAAAAATCTTCCCTCCTCTCCCCTCCAACAAAACTAAACAAGATAACCAAAAAACATTTCCCTCTCCTCTCCTCCCCTCTATCCAATGGCAGAGCCACGTTGGGGTGAGGGGGTGCAAATGCACCCCCTCACTTTAAAAAAAATTATAAGTGTAGCATGTAAAATTTACAACTTTACACTCCTATTTTAATATTTTTCCTCCTTTGGACTACATAAAAAATATTTAGGTTTAAAAACTTATTAGATATATAATATATTAATGATTCAAATATGATATGAAGAGTATATTTATAATAAAAGACCATATCAACTAAATCAATATAATTTTTAAAATGAAAAATATGATAAATTTATTTATATTATTATAATTTTAATCCTGGCATAATTATTACTATTTTTTTAAAAAAAATATTAATTTTTTATTAAATTACTCCGCAACCCCTGACTCAGGATCCTGGCTCCGCCATTACCTCTATCCCTTCCCCTCCCTACCAAATATATCCTAAAAAGCCTTTACACTTTTTAATATTCAATATCCAATTTTTAACCTCTTAAAAAATATTTTATATTTTTAAATGGGAGAGTACAATTTAAATTTAAAAAGCTAAAACATAAAATATAACTTTAATTTTAATGTATGTAATTAAAATGTATTTTTAGAACAATTTTAATTTATAAAAAACATTAGCATCGGATGGCACTGTAGAACTATAGTGCCAATCCAATGCAACTTACAAAGGTCTCATACAGTGTCAATCTGACGCAGATTACAAAGCAGAAAGAAGATTCTATTTTTTGGCGAAAATGATTGTAAGGAAAAAAGACAATTAGGGACTTTGTAAATAAATATATAAATGACAATTAAAGATTTTAAAATATAATATGATTTTTATTTACAATTAAAATTTTTTAATTAGTGAAATAATCAATAAAAAGTCACTCATGAATTTTTAAACAAAGTTAATTGTAAATTTAAGAATAATCATTTGTGAATATGTAAATAGTTAATTATAAATTTCTAAAGAGTTTCATAAATATATACTTGTTATTTGTGAATTTAAGGAGAATTATTTATGAATTTTTAGAAAATTAATTGTGAATGGATATTCAAAACATGATAAAGTTCTTAAATTATTGATTTACAATTAAAATTATTCTTGTTCATCTACAATAAACATTTCATATATTTACAAGTAACATTTGTTAAATTCATAACTGACTATTTTTGAATCACAAGTAATGCATAAATTCATGAGATTATCTTTTCATTCACAATTAAATTTTTATAAATTTATTATTGACCTTTCTAAAATTCACAAGTTTCTATCCTTAAATTCATAAGTGATAATACATAAATTCATAAAATTATCCATTAATTCACAATTAACTTTCCATTGATTCACAAGTAACATTACTTAAATTCAAAACTAACTTTACTTAAATTTATGAGTTACATTTAATTGATTATTTTAGTAATTATTTATTTTTTTAATTACAAATGAAAATCATGTTCCTCCCTGATATTTCAATAATTTGAGATATTTAATTGTCATTAATGTCTTTTACAACGCTTGTGATTGTCATTTTCCCAATTTTTAACATCTTTCATTATGAGTAATAGTCTTATTTAAATAGAATTTTTAAATTTCAATAAAATTTAACTTCAACGAGACTTTTTAAAATTGAAGAATTATCTAAATAAAAGTATAATAAATGTTAAAAGACTAGTGTCGTTTATTATTAATGTAAAACACCAAAAATGCCTTTTTTTTACCTATTTAATTTAATTATTAAATCACCACTACTAACCGAAGAACAAGTAAAAAAATATTATTTATTTCAATCAACATAATTCATCAATAAATAGAAATTTATTTAAAAAAATATGAAAATATTAATTACTTCACTGTTCTTTACTAAATATAGCATAAAATATTAACAATCAATGCATTGAATGAGAAATCAATAGTGTGCTTGAGCTTGATATTCTAGAAGCGAAAGCCGCTATTATTGAAAAATTAATTAGATGATTGTCCATGTGTCAAGAGGGGAGAAAAATGTAGGGTTGATGTAGTTTCATAATACTTATTCTCCAGAAGATGGCATGGGCAACCAAGAAAGTAAATAGGCTGCTATATTATCTCCACATTGTGTCTAAGATACTTGAGAGGTATCATATCAAGTTTGTGGAGGATAAGGAGATAAATCCTGAAAAATTCAGCAAAAAGGCAATGCTCAAATGAAAATGAATCTTGAGGGGACGCATTAGGTATTGGATGCTAGTACTGATGAGGAAGATATGAAAGTTGGCAAAATTAGGAAGAAGGAGGAGGGAGAGAGAAAAATTGGAGAAACCTAAAAGCCCTTTGCACCCATATTTGGTATGCTTATTGCATTTGAGATATTCCTCCACCCTTATCCATTTAAGGCTATCACCAATGAGGACTTTGCCAAAATGCTATGTGAAGTGGCCAAAAAGGAGGATGTTTTCCCTAAGTTTGTGTGGGAGATGACTGAAAAATTGAATGGGCTAGTCTTGGCAACTATCTAACTGAACTTTATGCCAGACAAGAGAGATTGGGTGCTCAATAGAAGAAAATTATGGAGCACTTCAAGATCCCAAGATCCAATGTGGCTGATGTTGAGTCATTGTCCATGAAGGTGCCCTTACCAAGGATTGAAAAGGTATATTCTAGTTCCTCCTCTTCACACCACACCGAGAACCAAAAATC